GCAACCCAACCATTTGGAGGCCAGACCACGTCCATTTAGTAATCTGAATACCAGCCCTGAGAGAAGACGGGGGCTGACCCAGTATGGGGGTCAGGAATTGAGAAAGTGTCACTGGAGCTGAAACCTGCCCCTGAAAATCTCCTTCTGCTGGCTCAGCTCTGGGGCTGGGGCCCGGGGGAAGTGGGGAGGGTAGAGGTCCCCACTCTGCCTCCCTCCCTTTGGACTGAGGCTGACTGCTACTGCTGGGCTCCCCAAGGCTCACCCTGCAGCCCCCTCCTGACCCCCTTCCATCAGCAAGCAAACTCCTCCTGAGGCCCTGCCTGCCTCTGGAGCAGCCTGTGGCGCCCTCTCTCATTGACCTGTCCCTTCTTCCAACCTGCTTCCGCGTAGCACACCCCGCCCCGCCACGCCCTGCCCCCGACACGTCCCGATCCACCGATCCACCGATCTGGCACCTGCCTCTGCCTCCTCCACTCGCGCCAAGGCCTCTGTGACCCGTGATTGCACATCTTCCTCTTAGAGTCCAGGACTGGTGACCAGCCCTTGTTCTTGGCCCTCTGGCCTTGGCCCTAGGTGCTCCATTTTTGCCCGAATTTCCCCTCCTCCCAAAAGTTTCTCTGGCTGCTGTTCCCAGGGTCCTATCCTAAGTTCTCCTCCATCGTGCTCTGCACTAGCTCCTTGAGATATCTCACGTACCCCATGGCTGCAGCTGCCAGTCCCCAAATCTCCACTGCAGCCCTCTCTGGTTCTCCTCTGGGTGTCCCATGTGTCTCACAGAGCATGGCCACACTGACCCTTTCACCTCCTGTGTCACCTTCACCCACTCAGTCACCCAGCAGGAACCCAGCATCACTTGGATCTGTTCTCTCTTCGTCCCCTCTAGACCAGTCCCCATTGGGTGGCCTATTGTAGGAGCCTGCAGATTGGTCCACCCCACTGGGTGGTCCACCCCACCGTAACGCATGGTGCAGTGGCCACCAGCATGAATTCTGGGGCCAGCCGGCCTGGTTAGAATCCCGGCTCTACCACTTACTAACTGTGTGATCTTGGGGAAGTTACTTAACTTCCCTATGTCTCAATAAAATGGGAATATAATGGATGAAAATAGTCACTTCTATTATAGGGTTGTTATGAGGTTTAAATGAGTTAATATATGTCAAAATACTTAGGACAGTGCCTGGTACATGGCAAGTGCAATAAAAATTTGTTTTTATTATTACTATTATTATTATTGTCATTTGTTTTACAAATATTTTAGAATCCCTACTATGTGCTAGGCACTTTTTTAGGCACTAAGGGACCTAATAATGAACAACAAAAATGATTCCTACCCCCTCGAACCTTACAGTCAAGGTGGCAGCCTTTCATCAACGTCTCATAGAGCAACAGTTTCCTGCTGCATGAGCCGCACCCTACTCTTTCCCATCTTAAAATGAAAAACAGCAAAAGCAAACAAACCCTGGAGTCCACATCGCCTTCCAGCTACTGTCCTAGCTTACTGTCCCATCACAGTCAAGTTTCTGAAATGAGTTTATTCTGCCGGCAAGTGTTCATTGCACACCTACTGCATGCCAGGCACTGTGCTAGGTGCTGGAGAGCCAGCAGTGTACAGAGGAGACAAATCTCCACCCTCAATGAGTTTATCTTCTAGACATGGACAATAAACAACTATATCAACATATATAATATAATGTCAGTGATATTTGTAGATGCCGTAAAGAGAGAAGAAGTGAAGTAGAGGACAGAGTGACTGGGGGATTGGTGGCTATTTTAGATAGGGAGTCAGGAGAGTCCTCTCTGAGGATGTAACGTTTGAGCAAAGACTTGAATGGAGTGAGATCATCTGAGAAGATCTGGGAGAAAAGGATTCCAGGTAGAGAGAACAGCAAATGCAAAGCCCCGTGGCAGGGATAAGCATGAGTATTGCTGGAATGGCATGAAGGCTTCAGTGGCTGAGTGAGCAAGGCAAGGGTGGGGACCAGAGCTTAGGGTGACCCTGCACATCCAGTATGCCCTGGACTGTCCCCGCAGAATTGTTGGTATTGATTCCTTTCACTCTTAAAGGTGCCCCAGGTTTAGATGATAAATTATATAGGCCCCCTACATATAGGCCATGGGAAGCAACTGGCATTCTGAATGTGATGCAAAGCCTACAGATGGTTTTGAGCAGGCAGTGACATATCGGACTGACATTTTAGAGGATCGTGACCAAGTACTTGAAACATTCTTCTGGCTCCTGTAACACCCCTTCTTGGCTCTCCTCCACCTCCCTGGCTGTTGCTTCTCAGTCTCCTCTGGCAGCTCTTTCTCTTCTACTCAACATCTAAATCTTGGATTTTTCTCTACACCAGCGGTTCTCAACCAGGGGTGATTTCTCCCCTGGGGGACACTTGGTATTATCTAGAGACATTTTTAATTGTCACAACTAGGGCCGGTACTACAGGCATTTAGTGAGGAGAGGCCAGGGATGCTGTTAAACATCCTACAGTGCACAGAACAGCCCCACACAACAAAGAATTTTCCAGCCCAAAATGTCAGTGGTGCTGAGGTTATGAAACCCTGCACAGATTAGCTCTGTCCAATAGAAATATAATGGGAGAAATATGATACACAATTAAAACTTGTCTTGTAGCCACATTAAGAAAAACTGAAAAGAAAACAAGTGAAGTTCATGTTGACAATATATTTTATTTAATCCAACATGTATAAAATATTATCATTTCAACATGTAATCAATATTAAAAATATCAGTGAGAGAGAGTCCTTCCTTCCTTCTGTCCTTTCTTTCTTTTTTGAAGTCTACTGTGTATTTCACACTTGCTGCACATGGCAATCCGGACCAGCCACATTTCAAGTGCTTAGTAGCCACATGTGTCTCATGGCTATTGTATTGACAGCTTACCTCTAGGCTCAGTACTAGATAATATAGTCTAATGTTTAAGAGCTATATAAGGTGATAAAGCCTAATGGTTTGGCTCTGGAACCAAACTGCCTTGTTGAATTCCAATTCTTCCATTTACTTGCTGTCCACTTTAGGTAGAGTTATTCTACCTCTCTGTGCCTCTGACTCTCATTTGTAAAGTGGGGATGATAATAATGTTACTACTTTACAGACTTGTCAGGGATTAAATGAGTTAATACTTAACACAACTGTTTCAGATGTTATCATAAGTGCTCACCAAATGTTAACTATTTAGCTAGGCCCCTCCTCTGTCTCCATCCACACTTTCTCTCTGGGTAATCTGTCTACTCCCATAGCTTCAAGTGCCACCTATTACCTAATAACTTCCAAAGTTAAATATCCAGCTTAGACTTCTTTTCTGAGCTCCAGACCTCCTGTTTAACTGTGCACCCCATTTTGATGAGCTGGGGCATGTCACATGAACATGCCCATAACAGAGCCCTTGACCTTCCCCTGCGAATTTCCTCCACTGCCAGTCCTTGCAATCTAGGTCATTACACAGGGCAGATATCTGGGTGGCCTCCTTGATTTCTGCCTTTCCAGGGAATGCATAGCGCTCAGATTGCGCAACTTCTATGTTGGTTGAGATTTCCACTCCACTGCTATGTGCCCACAGAAGTTATGCGAGTGCTGAGGGCATTTGGAATAAGAGAGTCCTTAGGCATGGCTGGGGTGACCCCTAGGGCCTCCTGAGGAAGCACAGGCTGCAGGTACTGACTGCTCATGCCAGCTGTGAATCAGTGTGTGTCTGTATGTTTGTGTTTGTGTACCTGGTCAAGTGGTTGTGTCTGTGGACATGTGTGGAAAGGGACACAAGAAGGTTATTTCCCACCACTGTAATCAAGTGTCTCCAGGCAGGTCTTGCTGTGGGCGTGAACGTGCTGTTTACTCTCAGACCACCAACTCCATTCTCCCAAGCGAAGGGGTGGCTTCCTCTGTGTCCTGGTGGGCAGGTCAAAGGGAAAGACTTTTCTGGCATCTGACCCACCATATCAAGACCTCCTTCCCCTCCTTCTCCCTGCTCATGAAGTCCACCTTCTGGGACGCTCCCATTCCGCTTCCTTCTGAGCCTTGGGGGCTTCTCTGAGGTACTGGCCCATGAGGCTGGCAGGTGAATCTCTGAGAAGCTTCCTTGAGTCTCCCTCCCTAGGGGCAGGGCAGCTGGAGCCCCCACTGATTGAAGAGTTTGGCCTGTTTTTTGGGGGGGGTGTCCCAGGAAGGGAGGTTGGAGGGTGCCTCCCCGCCTCCCCTTTGAGGCCCTGCCACAGCTTGAGGAATGAGCCCTCTCCTGGCCTTCTCTGCCCCCCAGGACAGCTCTGCCTCTGGTGAGCTGGGAAGTGATTCCCAGGGACGACCCCCAACCACCAGCACCATGAAGTCAGGTCCTCAGGGACCTTGGCCAGAGGGCTCCTGCTCAGATAGTGCAGACACAACTTCAGCTGTCCCTTTGGGGGATGACAGCCGCCCCTCTCAGGTCTGAGCCTTCCCCGGCTGCCACCCCCAACCCCCATTCCACTTGCTTTGGACCCCCCTGGGAGAAGCTGCTGGGGGAGTCCCATCGAGGATCAGACCGTAGCCACCCCAACCAACCTCACCAAATCGGACGCGTCTGCTGCCCCTAGAACTCGAGGACGCAGGAGCGGCAGGGTCGACCCTCGCAGAAGCCTGGGCCTTGTGGAGCGCTGCCTCCACAGTCCCGCAGCGCCCGGCGCGAAACAGGGGCAGACAGGGACCCCTGGCTTCCCCGAGGGGCCTCCAAGGGCACCTGCCCAAGGCCACCCAGCGCGCGGCGGCCGAGGCGGCGGAGCAGAGCCGACCTCCCAGCCGTCGGTGGGGGCGGTGACCGCCCGGGGCCTTCCCACGGCTCGGCCGGCGCGTCACGGCGGGGGCGAGGGGGCGCGGGGCCCCCGGGGCTGCGGTGCAGGAAAGGGCCCTGGGAAAGGGCGGCGGCGGCGCCCCCGGGGCGGGGCCGGGGCGGGGCCCGACTTCCCGGCTCGGAGCCGCACCGCCCGCCTGAGACCGGGGCAGCCTGCTCGTCATGAAGCGGCCCAGGGAGCCGAGCGGCTCCGACAGCGAGTCCGACGGACCCATCGACGTGGGCCGCGAGGGCGAGCTGAGGTAAGGGCCGGGCGGGGGACTGGGCGCACCCAGGGCGGGCGGGGCGGGGAGCATCCTAGGTAGGGTCCCGGGAGACGCAGGTGTGGGCGACCGCCTGCAGGGGGTTGCGGGGGGGGGGGCCTGTGCAGTGTGGGCCGTGACACGCACGAGTGCCTGGGAACCTGTGCGCTCTCAGACGTTTAGGGCTCTGGTTGCTGGGATGGAGGTAGACTTCAGCGCCGGGGTCTGATGTCCAGTTGCTGAACTTCTTTCTGTCCAAGTGCCCGGGGGAGGCTATTGGCGAGTTCTCCCTGAAGATCTTAGGAAACCCTCATAGACTGTTGGTACCACAACCCCCGTGCGGAGTCCGCTGATTATGCACAATAACCGTACTTTCCCCATTTTACCCTAGCTTGGGCGCACTTTTCATATAGTACCCAAAAAGCTTCCAGGGGAGGAAAATCTCTCCTCCCTTAAGCAAACTGGACTTTGAAATAAGGTTTTGGTATTGAAGAAAATAATAGCCAACTCGCCCATCGTCAGTACAAGGGCCTAGACTCCAATTCAGTGCTTCTTCTCCTGCATCCCCCTGCTGCCAATGTCGTTCAGCTCTTGTTAAATATTGACCTGCTTCAAACATGTAGAACAAACTGCACTTGTACAGTTCTGCTACTTCCCAGGTCTGTGAACAATCTAAGCTTCAATTTCCTCATCTGTAAAATGGGTACAAATAATAGAACCGACCTCATAGGATTATTGGGAAAATCAAACGAGATAACATATGTCAAGGGCTTAGTGCACAGCCTAGCGCAAAGCAAATAATTAATTAGCGTCAGGCCCCCAACGTGGGATACCCAGAACCCTGAAGGAGCAGCAGGGACTGACTAGGACTCTGCAGGCCTGGGCCCCAGCCCCACATCTGCCACCAACTCACCATGTGGCCTTGGGCCACTGCTTTCCCTTTGTGAGCCTGTTTCTTCATCAGTAAAACAAAGGAGGACAGGGAGTGGGAGGGGGCAGCTGTCTGCTCTCTCCTGGCTCATCCGAACCTGACTCTCTAGAATAGAGTTGGAAGGGGGATTCAGTTCATTCACAGGGGTGTTTTTGAGGGCATTTCATAATTTCAATGCTCTAGTTTTCTGAGACGAGGGGATCTTGCCTCAATCACAAATCCTAGTAAAATGCCACCAGCTTCCAATTATTTATAGCTTATAATAGGAGGTAAGGTAATAGATAGCCCCTTTGCATCCTGTACATTAGGTTTTGGAGTGTATAACACAATTTCCTATACAACTTATTAACCTTTTAAAATTGGTTAGCAGAAACTGCTATTTGGAGAAGCAATTGTCTCAGTCTGTGCCTGCTAAGAGATGGGGAAGGGCCTAGCACCGCGTGGTGGTGGTGGTGGTGGGGTCTCAAATTCAATGTCATTGGGTCTTCACGAAGCAGAGGTATGAAATTGATGCCAGAGAGCTAGGCTGATCAGAGCTGGCTTCTGTCCTCCGAGAATCTGCAGGCTGGTCAGTGACCTGTCAGGTCACCCAAAGACCATGGACAGGATGGAAGATGGAAGGAGAGACAGACTATGGACTGTGAGGACATCCAAACAGGGAGAGGCCACTCACAACTAAAGGTGGCAGACAGGGCTTCTTGAAGGTGGCAGCATTTGGGCCATGGCACAACAGGTCAGTGGGCAGTTTTTTCCTACACAGGATTTTGTCCTTTCAGCCAGAGCCCATTTTTAGAGACTGTCTAGATTCTTAGAGGAGCAGACCCCCTCAGAGGAGAGAAAGCAATTGGACATCTGGCAGAGGCTGACTTATAGACCCCTCTTTGTAGCACTCACCAAAGGGCCCTCCCCCCAGCAGACATCAATGCTTCAATTCAGGGAGTGCTGAACGATGCCTGCTGTGGCCCAGACCCTGGGCTGGGCATGGGGGGCCCAGATGTATCCTGCTCAGCCTCTGCCCTCAGGGAACTCTCAGAGAAGAAGAGCTTCATGTACAAAGAAAGCCAGATAAACAGTGGCCAGGACCACGGAGCTGGGGCAGCCAACCTCCCTGGGGTCAGAGGCAGGTCACAAATCCCCCATACTCAGAGATGTGAGAGTAAAGAGCAGGGTGTGTGCCATCATCACTGTGGGCATCTGCCTGGTGGTGGTATCCTGCCCCATCTGAGAGAATCACCCGCAAGGCTCCTGTCTGAACCCAGCCCCCTGACACAGGCTGGGTCCACACTGAGAATATAGCCTCTCCCCTCCTCCTCTGCAAACATTTAATCAGCACCTGTCACATGTCAGGCACTGAGTCAGGGTCTGTGGGTCATTCCTACATGATTTAAGGCACATGGTGGCCTTTGAAGTCAGATAGACCTAAGTTTGGCTCTCATCACTATTAACTTGGGCAAGTGACTTTACCCCTTTCTGAACCTCAGTTTTCTCCCTTACAAAATGGGGATGCGAATACCTGCCTCACAGGGTGAGGCTTTGATGAGGTAATGTACCTAAAACACATAGCTCCCTGCTTTGGTACAAGGTGACTTCCAATTAATGCTGCTCTCTGCGAGGTCACCATTCAGTTGGAGGGTGCCATGTTCATGAGGCAGCCTGGTCTAATGAAAAGACTGAAAGTCTGAGGGCTGGACTTTCTGGGTGTGATTCTTAACACTTTGTGTCTATGTCACTCCATCTATCAAATGATTATTTTTCCTAAATGTGAAATGGCCCCAATTATACTTAACTCACAGGGCTATTGTGCAATAAATGAGACAAGTGAACGTGGAAGTGCTGTCTAGAACAAAAAGTCCTGGCTATGAGATATACACGATGGGACAATGACTATATGGGGTGCATTGAGAAGAGCACTGGATTAAAAGTCAGCAGACTTGGCCCCAGTTCTGGAATTTCCTCTAATTTGCTGTGTGGCCTGGAGAAGATCCCTTCCCCTCTCTGAGTTTCCTCATTTTACAAGTGGGCTCAGTGCTCTCTGATAGCCCTTCATTGGAGACGTTGTGATTCTGCCTTTGGTTGATGCAAAATGAGTGGGGTCACCTGCCAGGGCTCCATGAGGGAGTTTCCAAAGTGGAACTGAGGGTGAGCACTGAGGGTGGTCAGGACTGGCAGCCGGACCACCTAGAAAGCTGCCCCCGCCAACACACCACCCCAGAATTCTGGCTAGGGACCACTCGAGGCCCATGGAGCAGATCTTAGTGGTCGACATATCTTCTCTGGGTCTGTGAAAATCTGCCTTATTTTCAGACTCTCAGACAAGAAGCTCTCACACCTCCTCCCAGTGTCAGGGCCAGATCACAGCCTGGAAGCGAGCTCTGGCCGAACTCTCAGGAGCTTTAAGGATAAAGGGACTGGAGGGCTATTCAGACAGACAGGAAATAGGAATTAGGAGGGAAAACAATGCTGAATTTGGAGCCAGAAGACATGGATTCCCATGCTGGCTTTGCTCCTTAGCAGCTGTGTAATCTGGGCAAGCTGCCTTAGCTCCCTGAGGCTCAGCGTCCTCATCTGTAAAATGGGGCTTTTGTTAGGCTCAAAGGAGGGAAATTGATGTAGTGATGCCAAGACAACTGCGAAGTGAGTTTTGCCTGTGAGATATGGGAGGGGGGAGAGGGATAATAGCGCAGAGAATGAGTGGCCAGGAGAGTGGAAAAGGGATGGGAGAGCCGCCATGCCCTGAAAGGGGTACGTCAGCCTCTGACAGATGGTCCCTGAGGAAGGATCAGGCTGAAAGGCAGTGACGTGTGCAGTGCTAACCCAATACCCCTAGAGACGTCTTATCCAGCCCCAGGGGTAGGGGGTGGGCAGACAGAGGCCGTGTTTCTTAGCATACCTTGGCTCTTGGGGCTTGTCCTGAGTGAAGCTTTGTAAACAAGCTGCCCTACAAATCTCAGGATCTGGCCCTCTGAGCCCTGGACCTAGCTTGCTGGGCCATCCCTCTCAGGACCTTTCACAGGTCTCTTACCAGCCCTTCTTGTCCAGATGTTTGGGTGGAGATATCCTTTTCCAGATGTAGCTGGACAAAGCCAGGGGCATAGCAGTAGGATGTGACAAATGTTAGTCTGACCTTCTCTCTTTGAGCAGTTGATGAAAATGATAAACCTCTAATGCCAAGAGGGTAGTCACATGGGCTGGGACCCTCCTGGTGAGCCACATATGCCCCCATTCCACAAGGGTCTAGGACATAGATTTTATGGTACGACCTCTCTGCTCCCCAGTGATGGCCAAGATGAGGGCAAGAGGAGGGAGCTCAGCCTTGAGCTCTACCGCGTTCCAAGCGCTTGAGTACTAGGGCTAGAGTAGTGAATGAGACAGACATGGTTCATGGCCTCATGGAGCTTATGGACTTGTCGGAGAGATAGACATTAATTAAATAATCATATAAATATAGAACAACAAACGGGCATAAATGCTGTGAATGCAGGATGCTAGGAAAGTATAGAGCAGGGGATAGCTAGTGGGAGGGGGCATGTCAGAAAAGGCTCCCCCAGGGAGGTGACATTTGAGTTGGGATCTGAAGAGTGGTAGAAGTGACTAGGCAAAGGGGCTGGGGCTTGGGGGCGGGGAGATGGGGTGGACCAGAGAACTCTAGGCTAGGGTAACAGTATGTGCAACCACAGGAAGGAGTTAGTACATTCACCGGCTGGAGCACACAGAGCAAAAGAGAGTTGAGTCTAGGACGTGACGGGGGCCAGCTGGGCCACCTGAAAGATGGTGGTCTTGATCCTGAAAGCATTGAGAAACCCCTGACTGAGTTTTAAGAGAGTGACAAGATCAGATTTGCATTTAAATGATCACTCTGCCTGCTTGTAGGAGGTAAGAGGGGTGCACAGGGACCGGTGGTCCTGGTGAGAGATGACAGAGGTTCGGTCATAAGGAGGACAGATGTGAGATGCATTTTAGACACGGAACTGGCAGGTTTTAATGAGTTGGGATGAGGACAGAGGAGGAATCAAAGATGGTGGCCAGGTGTCCACCTTGCAGAACTGGGAGACGGTGCCTGGGGAACCCAATGGGAAGAGGAGAGGTGTGAGGTGGTGGCAAGCTCATGGGTTCCTGTTCAGATGTGTGCCTTTTGCATTCCAAAATGGCAGGGGAGTCACCTTGTCTAAAGTTATTTGTTGATGTGGTGTCTCCCCACTGGAGCTAAGTGTATGGAGGGCTGGGGCCTGACCACATCCAGTCCAGCCCTGGGCCTGAATGGGGCCTCCGGGGTGTTGGCCAAATGAATGATACTCAGTGCAACCCTTCCAAGGAAGCCTCTGAAGCACGAAACCGTTAAGAGGGCCCGCAGCTGGGCTGAAGAGGATTTCTATCAGTCTGGACAGAAAAGCCCCGGAGGGCTGAGCCTCTTCCCGGTAATTGGAAGTCCTGGGGTCCAGCAAACATCCATCCTTCAGCCCGGCCTGCGGAGGGGAGGCCGGACGTGGTGCGGGGCTGGGGCCTTCTGGGGAGGCCAGGCAGTGTCCCGAGAGTCCGAGAGGGGCCTGTGACCCAGATGCCGCCTCCCCCTCGCCCCCGGCCGCGCTGCGTGGGAGGAGGCGGCAGCTGCAGGCCCGGCGGAGGGCGGGCGGCCGGCGCGCCCGGCCCGTGGGAAGCGGCGGCATCTGCTTTTTCCACGCTCGTTCCCAGCGGCTCTCTCTGAAACCCAACCCGCCGGCCCGGCCGCCGCCGCCGCCGGCCCGTGCCCTCGCCCGCCCCGCCCGGGGATCGGGTTGCAGGAGCCGGGCGGCCGGGCTGCGGTTCCCGACGCCCGCCGAACGCAGCGAGGGGCGAGAGGCAGGGGGCAGGGGGCGAGGCCGAGCAGGCAAGCCCCCCGACTCTGGGGCAGGAAACCGAGTGTAGGGGAGGACTTGACCCAGGGAGAAATGGGCCCCCAGGGAGAAGGGGCGTGTCCCCACCCACGCCTGCCCTGCGCCTTTTCCCGGCCTCGGAGACCATGGCCGCCTGGGAGGGGGCTGTGCCCGCCCACAGCCCGGCCTCCGAGGTCAGCCCAGGCCAGGGAGATGGTCCCCGAGCTCTGAGAAATCAGCCTTTCTCTTCCTCTCCAGCCAGATGGCCAGGCCGCTGTCCACCCCCAGCCCTTCGCAGATGCAAGCCAGGAAGAAACGCAGAGGGGTGAGTGTCCGTCTCAGCAGAGTTGCCTGAGTCTCCAGGGGCCTGGCTGAGAGAACCCCGGGTCAGAAACATCACCCTGAATCTAGACTACCTGGGTTCAGATCCTGGCTCTGCCAGTAGCCAGCGGGGGTGACTTTGGGCAAGCCACTTAACCTCTCTGTGCTTCATTTCTTCATCTGTGTTACTGAAATAATGATAGGACCTACCTCAAAGGCTTGTTTTGCAGATTAAGTGAGTTAATATAATGCACTCAGAACGATACCTGGCACACAATTAGCCATTATTATTTATTCCAGCCTTCCCCCTCTCCTCTCTGAGCCCAGAACTTGCATTTCCTCCTAGTGTGCTGAGGGGTGGGGGAGGGGTCAGAAGAAGGAGGCACCCCTGCTTGCTCTTGGCAGCCCCCCATCCCAGCCCCACTTTCCTCCAGGATGCAACTGGGCTTCTGCACTGGGAGTCCAGAGACCTGGGATCTGGCAGAGACCAGCCCTGCCATTCACTAACCATCAGACCTTAGGCACACCACTTCCGTGCAGCCCTCATTTTCTTTATCAGTAAAATGGGGGTCATAATTTCTGCTCTGCTATCAATATTCTGCTACCAGTATTGTGAGATGAGAATGAGGGAGTGTGAATGAAAGGCCTTCCCAGCTGGAGAAAGCAATGCCTAGGACTCCTCAGACCTCATGACCCAGCAACTGAAGAAAGGGTACCCCTGGCCCAGCAGGGGTCTCCAGGGCCTGCTCCAGTGCTGTGGCTGGTGTCCCTGTTCTGACTGGTCAGTGCCCTGCTGTACCATGGTTAAATGTTTTGAATGTCACTCCTACAGATCAAGACAAGAGATCTGAATTCTATTCCCAGCTTTGCACTTCTTTGCTGTGTGACCTTAAGCAAATCACTGCCCCTCTCTGAGCCTCGGTTTCCTCCTCCATAATATAAGAATAGATTTATCTCCCTCACAAAAATATTGTGAAGGAAAATATGAGTCAATGTCCACCAAGGCACGTTGGAAACTGTGATGAAGTGCCTATGTGTAACTTCTTGTCATTGTTTTTTAGATCATAGAGAAACGGCGCCGCGACCGCATCAACAGCAGCCTGTCTGAATTGCGGCGTTTGGTCCCCACTGCCTTCGAGAAGCAGGTATGTGGCATTGCTGATGTGCCAGAGGAAATACTCTGTGAGTGGCAGATAAGGTTCACTTCTCGTGGCATCTCCTAATGATTGCTATCAGCTGCCTGAAGTGCTGTGCTATCATTTACTGGGATAAGGGGAATGGCAATTTACATTCACTGAGGTGTCTCAGCTGTTGTGGCTCTATGTCCATCACCCCATTGAATTGAATCCTTAAAACGATCCTGAAGGATAGGGGTTATTATACCCATTGCACAGGTAAAGAAACTGAAGCACAGAGAGGTGAAGTCACTTCTACCAGGTCACACAGCTAGTAAATAGCAGAGCAGAACTGGAACACAGAACTGTGTGATTCTACAGCGCCCTATCCGTCTGCGCTACTGACATTTCCAGAGCTATTTGAAAGTAGCACAGGCTGCTCGGGGAGTGAACACGCTGCCATTGAACATGCTGGGGTGGAGGGACTACAGGGGGACGTCAGACAGTTGACTCAATCAGACAGCGTCAAAGATTCTCACCCTGTGTGCCAAGGCACGGTCATGGGCATGTGCCTTCCTTTATGTTGGCGAGAAGAAGTCAGTCATTTCACAGACATTCACTAAAACCTTCACAAGACCAGCCACGAACTAGACCTGGTACATACCCTCACATGGAGAGTCTGACCCTCAGGTTTCACCTGGGAGACCAGGTGATGCTGGAGGCTTAGGAAACATTTCCCGAGAGAGAGAATAGAGGAAGAGCGAGAGCTTTGGGGGTCAGATGATGAGCTGGATCATGGGTGTGGTGAGTGTGAAGTTGCAGTCCCAGTGCAGCTGGTCTAGGAGGCAGATGGAGATGCAGGAGTGGCATTCTAGTGATGGTGCCTGAAGCCATGGAATAGACAAGACCCTCCAGGGAGAGTGTGCAGAGCGAGAAAAGCGAGCTACCACTACTGGGAACACCGCTCTTTTAAGGGATGGTTAGAGCAAAAGGCAAAGTGAAAGGAGAACCAAGAAAAAGTGGTGTCATGGAAGTCATGGGAGGACGGGTTTCAGGAAGGATGGTCAGCAGTGCGGCGGACAGGTGGGCTAAAACGAGAACTGAGGAGAATCTCTTCGATCTGGAGGCCTTGGCCATAGCAGAAGCCCAATTGCATGCGGTGGCAGAGTGGGAGGAAGATGAGAAAATTGAGACAGTGAGTGCTGATGACACTGTGCGGGATTGGTGAGCGACAGAGGTCAGCTGGAGGCCTCCACTCTTCTGTCTCCTGTACACACAGGGCTCCTCCAAGCTGGAGAAAGCCGAGGTCCTGCAGATGACGGTGGATCACTTGAAAATGCTCCACGCCACTGGTGGCGCAGGTACTGATGCTCTACTCTCCTGGGAGTCATTCATGTAGCGCATATTTGGGGCCTGGGCCCTGGGGATACCATGGGGAGCAAAGTGGCTGTGGTCCCTGCCCTCACAGAGCTCACAGTCTGCAGAGGGGCTGGAGCAGGTCCAGGCGGAACATTCGCAAAGCTTGTCTCTTCTTTCGGCATCACCCTCTCCACTTCCCGTGTCTCCATTTGTCCCAACCCTTTCCTCAACTCCACTCCTTCCAGCCTTAGACCTTGGAGGAGCTCTTCTACAACACTCTGTTCCTACCCCCAGCGCCTCCGGAAGCATTAGCCTCAATGAGCTCATTCTCACTGAGATCCCAGTGGGAGGGGCCTGCATGAGATTTTTAGCCACCAGCGTTCACTGCTGTGCCTACCCACTGGAGTAGCCTTCTGAGCTGTTGTGTCTTTGGCAGTGCTGGGGTGACATGTCGTGGTCATAGTTGAAGATCCATCTCAGGATTGTGGTTGAATGCAAATGTAACTCATTCCATTATTTTGAGCTAGTCCATTGCAATAAAGTCGTGGAACTGTGGCTTTGAAAAGACTTCGGACAAATGGAAATTTGTCTGCATGAAGCCTCTCTGTGCATTTTGGTGATTTCACAATCGGGAAACCTTGAGACCTCCATAGACCTTGGCCACAAAGACCTAAGTCCTAAAACCTCAACTTGCTACCCCTCAAGGGGACAGCTGCATTTTAAGTGGCCCAACCTGGTGCTTGTGAAGCCTCAGTGTGCAGCAGTATCGTTTGGGGGCAGGCAGTCGTGGGTCACACCCCAGAGATTCTGAGGCAGTAGGTCTGGATTGGAGTTTAGGAATTTGCAAGTTTAGCAAGCACCCTGATGACCCTGATGCAGGTGATCACTTTGAGAACTTCTGCCAATGAATGCATGGCCAACAGTGGAAACTTCTGTCTCTAATCAACCAGTGGGGGAGATATTTCAAACTATATTTATGTTTATCCAATTAAAAGAAAAATAGTGACTAATATTTGGGCGGCATTTTGTAGTTTTCAAATGCTTTCACTAATGATATCTCATTTGATTCTCACAAGAACCTCGAGGGTGGGGGCTGTTGTCCTCACTGTTTTCTGGATAAGGGTGATGGGAAGACAGAATTGTGGCTTAAGGCACTGGCTTTGGAGTTGAATCCTAGCTTTACTGTTCATCAGCTTTATGACCTTGAACAAATGATTTAACTTCACTATTCCTCAGTTTCCTCATCTCTAAAATGGGAATAATGATAGGGTTTTTATGAGGATTAAATGAGATAATACAAATTAAGTGCTTAGTAAGAACTCTGCAAATGTTAGTTAAAAAAGAACAGTGAGGGGCCGGCCCCATGGCATAGTGGTTAAGTTTGGCGTGCTCTGCTTTGGCATCCCAGGTTCACAGGTTTGGATCCCAGGTGCGGACCTACACCACTTGTCAGCCATGTTGTCATGGCAACCCACATACAAAAGAGAGGAAGATTGGCAACAGATGTTAGCTCAGGGCCAGTCTTCCTCAGCAAAAAAGAAAAAGAAAAAAAAAAGAACAGTGAACACAGAAAGGTGAAGGGATTTGCTCAAAGTTGCACAACTACAGCAGAGCCAGGTCTCGCCCCCAAGGAGGCCTGACTCCAAACATCGTCTCCTACAGAGCTGTCCCTCTGTGGGGGCCTCAGCTGTGAACCAGGGACCAGATATTTGCTGCCATAGGCATGAGGCCAGTGCTCACTGGGGCTGTTCAGTCTTTGCCCAGAAGGTGGTCGAAAGAGGGGCAGGTGTGGAGAGGCAGTGAATATGTGACTACCTCTGTGGGCAGTCCATCTGGTCACCAGGTCAAAGAGAGGGTCTCTGACCTGATGACTGCAGCTGAGAACCAGGGTGGGGTCCTGCTTTCCAGACTGCCCTTTGGGCTGGGGGAAAAACTCCAATGCCCACGGATCCAAGCCAGTAATATAAATGATAGCTAACTTTTAATTTATTGAGCATTTCTGTGCGCCATTTCATTTCACCCTCACGACTCTCTGCAGCAGGTACTGTTATATGCCCATTTTACAGCTAAGGAAATTGAGGCATAGAGAGATTAAGAGACTTGTCCATGGTCAGGCAGCTGGTTAAGTCCTCGGTCAAGCAGCTGGCCTCCGAAGACCTCCTGCTTCACTGCTACACTGTGCTGCCTTCTCCAAGGAGTCTCCCAGCTCTGATGGCTGCTGCTACCACCTGCCAGCGTGTGCCCCCCGTTAGCAGGCAGGGTGGTTCTACACCTCCGTGTGCACAGCCCTTTCACACCTGGCAAGTGACTACTTAAATGAAGTTATCTTGGCCACAAAGTTTCCTCTTTGGATTAATCTTAAATTGTGACGCAAACCATACTTTACATGTTATAATGCTTCGTAGTTCAGTGAACTCATTTGATTCTCACAGCCCACCCTCTTTACCCCAGGGAGGGATGGTTTTTCCCACTTTACGAATGGGGAGACTGGGGCTCAGAGAGGTGAAGTGACATGCCCAAGGTCACAGAGGGATTGAGGCAGGGAAGCAGGTCCAGAGCTCAGACAGTCTGACCCCAGGCTCAGTGCTTGTCCCCCCGCCTGGCGTGCCCTCATCATGCCTCACTTTGCAGGATTCTTTGACGCCCGAGCCCTGGCAGTCGACTTCCGGAGCATTGGTTTTCGGGAGTGCCTCACCGAGGTCATCAGGTACCTGGGGGTCCTGGAAGGGCCCAGCAGCCGTGCAGACCCTGTGCGGATTCGCCTTCTCTCCCACCTCAACAGCTATGCAGCTGAGATGGAGCCTTCGCCCACGCCCGCCGGCCCCCTGGCCTTCCCTGCCTGGCCCTGGTCCTTCTTTCATAGCTGTCCAGGGCTGTCAGCCCCAAGCAGCCAGCTAGCCATCCTAGGAAGAGTGCCCGGCCCCGTCCTCCCCAGCGCCTCCTCACTTGCTTACCCCATCCCAGCCCTCCGAACCGCTCCCTTGCGCAGAGCCACTGGTACCATCCTGCCGACTCGGAGGAATCTGCTGCCCAATCGAGGGTCATCTACTACTCGGAGGGCCCGCCCCCCGGAGAGGCCAGCTGCCCCCCTGCCCGTGGCCCCCAGTGGCAGGGCTCCCAGGAGCAGCCACATGGCACCTCTCCTGCCGTCTTCTTCCCCAACCCCCCCTGGCGTTGTGGGGTCCCCTGCTTATGCGGCTGTTCCTGCACCCAGGCCTTCTTCCCTGGGGCCAGCTGGGAGACCAGCAGGAGCTGTGCTCTGCCACTCCTGGGTCTCTGAAATCACTGAGGTTGGGGCTTTCTGAGCTGGGTTTCCCCCCAGGAGTGAGGAGAGTTCTTGTTCCAGGAGCTCTAAAAACGACGCTGCCTTTTCTGCTCTGCTTCCTGGACTGGCTCATACATGAACGTGTCTTCTTCACCCGTCAAAGGCCCCCTCCTCCTTTGGTCCATCTCCCCTCCTCACTACCCGTCCCAGCTTGTCCAGCCAGCTCTCCTGGAACTGTTCTGATCTCAGAGGCTTGGTCTCATTTCTTACCTGGACAGATGAGTCCTGGGAGAGCTCTTAAGAGCTGTGCCCAGACCCCTCTCCTGCCCCAGCACACAGGGAGCAGTAGGCATGAATCTCGGGTCTGGGAACAAAGCTTTAACCTAAAAGGCACAATGGCCTAAGGCAGGCTGCTTCCCTAGAGAGATCAGACCCCAGCCAGGAGCAATGACTGACGGGTTACAGCCTTCCCAGGGCCATGGGGCCGGAACATAGTGTCTGCCTTGCTTCCTGAGACAGTAACTGAGCAACGGCCACAAAGAGGTCTCCTGGGAATCCTGTCTGCCCTGCCCACCTGCTTTCGGCCCACCCCATCGCAGTGAATCATAAGACAGACCTGGTGTCCACCACGGTCAAGGCCTGAGGATTGGGGGCCAAGCAGGGCCTGCTCCTGCCCTCTTCCCGGCTGCAGACACCACCCTCCAGCTGACCACCAGCTCCCTGCACACAGCTGGGAGGTTTCCCAGCAGCAGTAGGGCTCTGTGACAGGGTGTCGTCACCACCGGGCCTCGGACAGCGCCCCTAGATGGGAGCCAGGATTGAGCAACGGAGAAGCCAGCTCCCTGCCTCTGTCACCATCACCGTCCTCCAGGCACGTGGTCTTGTTGGGTGCACAGTGTGGAGGACCATGTTCCCACGTGATGGCGCCCAGAGGGGAATCCTCTTGGGATTCGGCACCAGACGTTTTTGTTGCCTGGTTTGCATCCGGCTCACAGAGCCCAGACTGTTGGGACAGCCAAGGGCTGTCAGGCTGGACAAAAATAACTGCGAGGAGGGGTGAGAGGAAGGACAGTGAGAGGTGACTCGGCCCTTCAAGGTCACACAGTGGGTCTAGGGCCTGAGATTCTATTCACCCAGGATTCTGCGCAGCTGGCTCTGCTCAGAGGCCATTTCATCACACATCTCCAGCACGGCCACTTTTCCCCTAACAGAGGGAACAAGTGGCCCAGCGACCATTCCCGGTGGAACAGCAGAGACCGGACAAAACAGGGGCAGACCCAGGACTGACTTTCAGCTGGACCAGTGTTGCCAGACCTGTTATTAACGTGCAGAAACACTTCTCTGCTCGTTAACGAATGCCTGCCTTCCTTGAGGGTCTCCAAGGGCCCCCCACTCCAGGCTTTTCCCTAGGACCCTGTGCTGGTTAATGCCTGGCAGACCCAAGGCCGTGGGGTCCTCCAGCTGGCAATTCGTTGGTGCTTATTCCAAACCAGTTATTAAATACTTCCAATGCCACCCCTGGGAAGATTCTCCCACCCCCACCCTGTGATGGAACTACCCTCCCCGGAGGCTAAATTGAGGAGACTCCATGGGCTCACAAGTAGAGTTTGCAGCCCTGGGGAAAAAGGGACCTTTCAGAGAAGTGGGTAAGAGGGCAGAGATCATTTAAATGACCCAGAAAGCTCTTTTAAAAAGGCAAATTCCTCAAGGAGGCGTAAAGAGCTAAACTAATTCTTTCACTCCTCAGTGTGAGTTAGTTCTCTCAGATTGCTGGCCTCCTGGACCCATCTGAGATGGATGCAGCGAGGAGAGAGGGCGTCACTTCAGGGAGTGGGTCACTGGCCAGGAGTGCTCCTGAGGGAGACAGAGATGGAGAGGGAGGGCAGGGCGGTCAGCAGGCTCCCAGGAGTTGGGAGAGGGGGCAGAGGCAGGTGGCAGAATCAAAGACCAACTTCACCTTGCTCACAAAGGGCGGGAAGAACTGCGCTTTCTCCTGCTCCCCCTCCTCCCTCTCCAGCCTATTCTCCCCCTCCCCCTCCTGCCCCCCCTCCTTCTCCACCTTCCCCTCCTCCTCCTCTCCCTGACCACCCCAGGTGGTAGCTCACTGCTCCCAGGATACAGGTCAGTGCTGCAGTCCTGCAGTTTGGCGAGTTCCTAGCCTGAGAATCCGACATTTACTCATAGTGGGGCTGTGGGAAATGCATTTCCATGTTTCAAGGACCCAACTCCAAAAGAATCTGTTGACAGCACTAAATGAGGTGGAAATGGCCCAGAACTTTCAGCATCTTAGTTGATCTTGGGTTCATCCTCCCTGAGAGATTGTGGGGGGAAAGGTGACTGTATGTGTTCGTTTCCATGGTTGAGGACTTGTATCTTTGTTTATATTCCCAAGCCTTTCTGGTGCCCCCGACTCCCACCCCATTGCTGGGGTTGTCACAGACATCCAATAAAGTTTTTTTAGCTCTTCTGGAAACCTCCGAGAGATTCTACTTCTGAAATATCTCTGGAGTCTGTCCACTTCTCTCTGAACCCACAGCCACATCACCTCTCCCCAGATCACTGCCCTCCAGAAGGTCACCTTGCTGCCTTCTTGCTTTGTCAGTCAGTTCTCAACACAACCAGAGAGAGCTTTAAATATGCAAATCGTATCATATCAACTCTGGTTTAAAACCCTTGCTCTATTACTCTATTATTGTAAAGATAAAATCCAAGCTCTTCCTCTTCTGTCCCAAGCTCACTTTCAGCCTCGTTACTTGCCAATCCCAGTCTTGCTCCCTGGGCTCCTGCCATCCTGGTCTGCCTTCATGTCCTCAGCATTCCAACCTGTTCCACCTCTAGGACTTTGCATATGCTGTTCCCTTTGCCCAAAATGCTCTTCCTCTACCCTTTGCAAGCTGAGCTTTTCATCCCCTCAGGCCTTGGCTTAAATGTCACCTCCTTAGAGAGGCCTTATGTGACTACTGTGCTTGAATAATCTATCTCAAAGTCCACTATTCTTTTCTTTCATAAGGAATTTGCCATTGCACATCCATTTGTTTATTTACCAGTTGGTTGACTGTCTGCCCCACCAGCTTGCAAGCTCTTTGAGGCCAGGGACCATGCCTGGTTTCCTCTCCACCCGATATCCAGTGCCAAGCACTGTGCCTGGCTCAAGTCAGTGTTCAATAAATATTTGTGGAATAAATGAACTGGGGGAGGTGAGGAGTCTTCTGGACTCATGTTGCTGGATGGTTCAGGCTCTTCCAGGGGTGACCCCTGCTAGCCGACTTTGCGGGAAGGCTGGAGAGCAAAGTGAGAGCCTGGGCCAGGAGACTGGCGGTCTGGCAAGCAGTGAGGAGGCTCTGGGCAAAGAAAAGCATGAGTGCTTGCTCTAGAGTGCACGCTGATGGCTGAGGACAGGCAGGCTGTCCTTGCCAGCAGGTATTGGTCTCCACTCTTGGCCTGGCTCTCTCTGATGGCTTGGGCTCACAACAAATCCAGCAAAGAGTCACGGAGGTCTGCTCTGTGCCAGGCCAGGCATGGCAGGGCCAGAGGTGACGAGGACACTGTCTTCCCTGAGGGAGTGTACCCTCTGTCTAAGTGACAGTTTGGTGAAGTGAGAGTGGAGACAGAGGTCTGTTGAGAAGGCTGAGGGGTATCTGCCGCTGCCTAGAGTGGCTATGAGGGAGCCGAGCGCTGGGAGGAAGCCTTCCTGGAGGAGGACGAAGGGAAGCATTCTAACAGCAGAGGGAACCGAATGTACAAAGACCTGGAGACCTCATCAAGGGGAGCTCTGAAAATTGGCCAGGGTTGAGCAAAGATCTTCAGCAACAGAGCGAAAGGCAGGCTAGTCTGGGCACTGAAGCCAGACTTCCTGGGTTTAGGCCCAGCTCCATCAGTTGTCAGGGCTGTGGCCTTGGGCAAGTAAGTTACTCAACACCCCTGACCCTCAACTTTCTAATCTACAAAACTGGGATAATGCAGCAATGGCTCCTGTTGACTGAGCAGTAACTACATACCAGACACTGTGCTAAATGCTTTTCTTGGAATGTCCCCATTTTACTGATAAGGAAACTGAGCCAAGACACCATCTCCTAACGTTAGGTGAGAATTGAATGGGATAACACATGTAAAGCCCTCAGTCCAATCCTGGGTCATATGAATCGCTCAGTTGATCTTAGCCATTAGTGTCATTAATGGAAAGAGACTGGATCCAAATTGTGAAAGGCCTCGAGTGCCATGCAGAGTTTTGGCTTCAGCCTGTAGTCAATGGAAGCCACAGAAGGTTTTGCCAGGTGAATGCCAAGGTCAGACCTTATTTAAGAAACTCCTGTTTGGCGTGATGTGGATGACTGACTGTAAGGAGGAGTAATTAGACTCAGTTCTACCTAGTCATTGGAAATACTTAGATGCTTTTTTAAAATATCAGTGTCCAGGCCCCAGAAATGATGATTCAACTTGTCTGCAGTGGGGCTCGTGTATCCCATAGGAGGTGTAAAGAAAAGAATCAGGATTTCTTTCCTAGTCAAGGTAAATTTCCATTCCATGGGTGAAATGGACTCCAGCTTGTGAGCCTGAAAGGGGCTGATACTTTCTGAGAAGTGAAGCAGAAATTAACTTCCACAAGGGTATCTCTGTCCTCCAGCCCCATCCTAGTCCCTGGCCTATAGTAGATACTTAAGAAACATTATGTATTGAAAGCTTTAGGGACTTGTAATTCATTCTAGAGTCACTGAATATTTTGTGACTTTGTGGAAAACTCAAGACATTAGCTTCCTTCCCTCCTTCCTGGGGAAAGAGGGTAGGAAAAAATCAGGTCTGGATATCAGCTGATTCCATTAATAACAGTAAACAGTTTAGATACCTACATTATCTCATATAATCGTATGAGATTATATCTCAATATCCCACATAATAGTAGGTACTATTATTATCCCTATTTTATAGAAGAAGAAATTGAGACTCCATTTGTTAGTAAAAGTGCCCAAAGTTTACAACACCAATAAATGTTCTAGCCAAAATTAAAAGCTAGGTCTGTCTGATTCCGCTTAACTGATACACTACGCTGCTTCCTTCCCCAGCTGCCTCTTGTAATACAAACCCAAAGACGGTCAGTGTCAGGCCATCCAGGACTCGTGGCCTGGACTGACACGTCAGCCTGGAAAGCCTTCAGCTCGGCCGTGCTCTTCTCCTCTGTGCTATTAAGTGTAAGGCTCGGCTGCTGTAACAAAGAGGTCCAGCAATAACTCAGTGGACGAAAGAAGATAGAAGTTGATTCATCTCTCATCTAACTGCCTGGTGAACGTTCCAGGTCAGCAAGAAGCTCTGCTCAATGCAGCCATCCTAGGGCCCAGATTCCTTTCATCTTGCTTCATCCCCTAGGGCATTGTGCCTGCATGGTTGATGCTAGGTCTCCATGGATTCGAGCCAGCAGGAAGGGAAAGAGAGCTTGGTGGCGGCATGACCACAGTCTTAAAGCCTAGGCCCAGAAGCACATATGTGACCATCCACATTCCATTGGTGAGAACTCTGACAATTGGCCACATCAATCTGCAAAGGAGGCTGGGAAATGCATTTTAGCCCTATTCTCTGAAATAAATATGAATGGATATTGGCAAATAATC